TTTTCTCCCAAAACCAATTTCCTGAGAGCACAAAACGCGCGCGAGACGCGCAACTGTAGAATTGTTCGCTCGAAAATGGACGAAGGCGTCATCGTTAGCAGCAGCACCAGCAGCATCGTTGCCCTCATCGTTGTCGTTGTCGTCGTCATCGTTGTCCTTGTCGTTGCGTCGTCTTTTACCTCCCATGACCAAGCGCTCAGCTCAACTCGACTCGACTCGATTTTTTAATAGATAGATACACATCGCGCTCGCCCACCAACAACAACAGCAACAACAACAACAAACCAACAACCACTTTGATGCCGACGATTAACCCCCAAAAAAAGTGTAAAGTTTTAATGGGTCCATACGCATACATACACTGGCAGGCACGCATACACACATAAACATATGTATATATATACGCACAGAAGAGCAACCACAGAGATTCATGTAAATTGTGACAGAAGTCGAGCATTTTGCCAGGGTTCCTGCTTTTTGCTATTTGGTTATTTCTCTGCTTTATTTTTGAAATGAGAAAACTTTTTGAACTAAAAATCAAAGCAATTTCATTAGCACACCACCGCAGAAGAAACAAAAACAACAGCAACAACAAAAGACAGTGGCAAGGCAACCAACTTAATAGCCTGACATGCGTTGCTTTGGCAACTTTTGCCAACTTTTTTGCCACTCACTCTGCGGCCCTTTTGTGCTAAGATTAATGATGTGCTCCTCTTTCTGCCTCACTCTGCTGCTGTTGTTGTTCTTGGTGTTGGTGTTGTTTGTTCTTACGGCTGTTGCCTGTCATCGTTGTATATTTGCTAATGCCCCCCAAGGGAGTTGGCAATACTCTGAGCCGGCTTATTTTAATAATGCAGCTAATCAAAGTAGCGCGGCGCAAATTGCGCGTAACAAATACAAACACTTTTATATAGTATTTCCATATTCGTGGAATTTAGAAAAGAACAACAATCTTAGCTAAAGCAATGCACTGATAAATTAAGAGTGTGAGAGAGAGGGCTTGCGTAAAGTCAAGTAGCCTTGGCTTTTGTAGTCGATACGTTTTATGGCAGCCTTTAACTGATAAGCAGCAAATACATATGTATGTATATATGTATATAAAATATACTACTTCTGGTATTTCCACGTATAGAGTACATATGTACCTATAGTACATATGAATGTTTAGTAATGTACGTATAGTACGCTTGTTAGTGTTTGTAAATAATATGCACGTTAGCTGTAAAATATATGCAGGTCTGTATAAACGTTTCTTTCATTGCTTATGCCTCTATAAAATATTGAAATGAAGTCACACACACATCCATACGCGCACGCGTTCAACATTTGTCGCTGTTGCTGCCGCCCGTATGTCAGTGCATACCTACATACTATACACACATCCGTGTATGTAAGCGCCCTTGTAAGTCTCTGTATGTAATAATAATGTAGAGCGTGTCTTACGAATTCAACCGTTCAAGTGTAACGACAAAACGTGTGCTGAACCAATTGTACACTTGGCGTACACTTTTTAAATAAAATTACAGATAATTGAATTCCCTATGTGTTAAGTCCTAATCTGTTGCTAAGTTACCAACAGGAGATAGCTGTGGAAAATCAACGCAGACAATCCAGCAATTGACATGAAGTTTAATCCTCTGTTTGAAACAATTACATGTGAAAAGAGGCTTAGGACCATCAAGAGTACTTAAACGGGGTAAATAAATAAAAGGAAAATGGTAAAGAGGTATTACGATGTGTTCTGGAGAGATAAGCCTATGATTATATTCGGGGATAGATATTTATTTTTCATTCTATCTATCAAGCTTAGACATAATTATAATTCTTATTGAGAATTATAATTTATAGCAAACATGAATCAAAAATCGTTCAGCTCTTCTGGGGTGTAATTGCTTAGGTTTTCTTACAATATTTTTATATTTGAATTGTTCCAAGAAAAGGACTACAAGTACTTCGGTTTGAAAATAAAAATTGGATTTCTGAAATGTGCTTAAGTAAATTATTTTTGTTACCGAGTGTTCTAGGGATTTTTTTTATCTACAGTACCCTAATTAATCAATTCATTATTTTCTGTGAGTTATTCTAAGCGATAGCTTAGTTCTGATGATTGATCACAACTTGTGAGGCAAACACCAAGAGTAGACACACATATATTCATTTGTAAAATAAAAGGGAACAAAACTTTCACACATTTTAATAAATGCTTCATAAAAAACTTCAAAAACTTTAACAGCAAAACTCTACATCAAGTGTAGGTATTAGTGAGTAAACGAGCGGGGTTCATGAAGCGCAGAATATCTTATACTCTGCAAATGCTATTGCTTCTCTAATTATAAAATATTTTATAGCAGCAGGATAGATTTCATAAATAGAATTAATATTATTTTAAACAATTTCGTACATAACATAAAGTTCGAGGTAAGAATAATTTCGATAACTTTATTTTGGGAACCGATTAATAAAACTCCAAATAAAATCGTATGTGTGAACTTGTCTAAAAGACAGATTTAGAAGTAACAATGTTGTTAACAGAATGAATAAGAACTTATAATATGCCGTTTCCAAATGCTTTCATTTTCAACTTTAAGAACTCATTTATTTTATGCGTTACAAGCATCCCATTTAAATTGAAGTACTCTTTACGAGGGTATTAAATGAATATGTACAGAATACACCACAGACAATGTTAATAACGCTTAATAGCGTAGAAAATCGATTCGGCATTAAAAAATCATTTAATGACTGTTTGGCACGCGTCGCCAGCAACACCAGAGCTACAACAAGACCAACAACAATGGGAAAACAACTTAACAACAATATTGCCAAGAACGCCCACACAGAGATAATACTTTGGCAGCCAACTTTGGCTTTTGCCACTGCACAATTCATTATGGCAACAACAATAAAAACAAAAAACTTCAGTTTGTCGCCTGTCGTTTCTTATTTGTTGTTTTCTATTATTGTTATTTTCTGTTGCTCGCGTGTCTAAATAAACACACAAATATTTCGTGTTCTCTATTTTCGGTTTTGTTTTTAGTGAAGCGGCAAGTGCAGCAACTATTTTATTTTATTTATTTTTTTGCTGTATACATTTACATTTCTGTTGTAGCGCGGATAAAAACGCGCGCAAATCGCTTGCTCGTCACGTCACTGGCTGCAGTTTGTTATTGTTTATAATTTATGCATTGCTGCTTGCCAACCCCTTAGCTCAGTACTCTACGTTTGTTGCAATGATGCCTTATTATTGTTACTACCAGCTTAACTCATTCAATTTGCTGGCACGTTTTGCATTACACGCGACAACCCTGACCTACAATGCAAAAACAACGCAACTGAACAGCCTGTTGGCTACCCATTTCGGTTGTTGTTGTTATTGTTGGAGCTGTTTTGCATCGGAAACTGTTTGCATGTGTTGGCGGGCAACAAACGCAACCGCCCGAGTTGACGGATTGGCTGGCTGGTTGGCTTCGCGTTGAATTTTATAAATAAATTAAAAGGTACAATACACGGCACATGACACGGACACAGCAGACCCAGACAACGGCGCTTAGCACGCGGCATTTTACCATTTTTGGATTTTCCAACAAAAACAAACTAATTTATTAAAATTGCCCATGTTAATTGTAGTTGAGCAAAATAAAATACATACATGTCAAGTCATGGATTTAGGCGGTGGGGAAAAGGGCCCTGCCTCTACATAGTCAGGGCGTGAATATGGGCGTGGATAGAGGAACTTGACCTTAGGCATGCATATGCGAAAATGCCGTTTTGTTATTCAATTGTTGGCATAACCAGTTTGTTGGATAATAAATTGCAACGTATATTGTTAGGTTAACAATTTCAACGGCAACCAATTAAACTCTATCTCAGATAAAGGCGCCGAATTGGCCAATAAGTAAGTAGTGGACAAAAGCCAAGTACGACAAGTTGAAATGCAATTACAGTCAACCAAAGAGCTACAAAACGCAAAAATTTACAAGTTTGCATGAGTGTGTGTGGGTCCGCTTAAGCAGTGCAGTGTTGGACAACAAATATACATGCACACAAATGGCGTGTAGTTGCTGCACTACTTGCGCTTAACCAAAGTAAAAGATACAAAAGTATCTTGCACTTGAGAAGCCGACAGCAACAAGAGCCGTTGTCTTGCGCTGTCGGAAATGAGTTTTTAGCCTTTTACCTGGCGTTATGATTAACTCTCTTCGTGTTTTTGGTTTTATTATTGCTTTATCATGTGGCTTTTAAGCCATGCACGAGCGTATGTATGTATACATATTTACATTTTTACGATGTTGTGCCATTTGCGACACTTTCTCTTTTGGCTGTATTTTCGAGTGTTGAAATTCCTATTGAATTGCTAACTAAGTATAATATGCAAACATTTAAAAAGATGGTCTCAATTAAAAATAAACTTGGCATAAAGCATATTAATTACAGCTAACAAAATCACAGCAAATTAACACCTTTCGGGTAGGGCTAATCAAATATTGTGAGGCCCGCTATCAATGGAAAATTTACAACATAAAACGTAAACAACGCACGACCAATGTTGCCACACACCAAAAAGATAAAAAAAAAAAAATGTTGCCATTCAAGAAAAATGCCACCCGCCTTCTTTGGACTTGCTGTCTTTTTGTATTTCTTTTTGAAATCAACTTCGTTGTTGCTCGCCGTTGTTTATCGTGTCTTCGCAGTTATTGTTATTGTTGCTCTTGTTGCTGTTGTGTTGCTGTTTACTCCACTATACAAGCTGACAGTCAGAAGCAGCTGCGCAGAGCGCATTTTATTTTTAGCAACCACGAGAGAGCAAACCATAGAGCGGGAGAGCGAGATAGAGAGAGGGAGAACGCAAAGTGCACGTATGCAGCAACAGCGACAACAGCCGTGGTTTTGGCCATTGGTGAGCATAGATAAATTTCCCGCAAATGAAATACTAAAGCTTAATTACATATGCATATAGATAGATAGATAGATAAGGTAATTTTTGACTGCTGCTTACTCACCTGGTCGATCCAATGACTGTCTGCGACTCATTGGCAAAAATTTATACGCCTTGTGTGTTGTTTGGGGGTAGAGATAACTGTGGCTTAAAATTTAACAAAATTTGATTGCTTCATTTGTGTTGTTGTTGTTGGTTGTGTTGCTTCTAGTTGCTGTTGTGGATGTTCTTCTTGTAACTCGCTGGCTGGCAGGCTGGCTATTGCTTTTGCATTTCCATATGCTGTTGCTTATTTAAATCTATACACTCACACACACACACACTCAATAAAATGCTGCACATTGCTGGAGACGAATATAAATGAGCACATTCATTTAAATATTTCTTTTTGATTTCGACGAAATGCAGAAGACGCGAAAGGGCCAAGGCTCACAGAACGGTGGTGAGCGTTGACTTTCTTTTTACTTTGCGTTTCGTTATGCGAGGGGGGCTTTATGTAGAATTTGCGTGCAAAGCGAAATGTAAGCGAACACACGCGAGTGAGACCGTAGTTGATTATTTGTTGTTGTTATATTTATTTTATTTTAATTCGTAGTTGGCGCGGCGGCTTAAACAATGCAACGTTATGTGGGTGTTTTGTTTGTTGCTGGATTGCGTCTTCGTTTTGAAAACACTCACACACGCACTCCTCACACACAGACGCACGCGTCACGTCAATGAACGCAGCAGCGTACCTGTGTTGGTGTCGTCGTCGCCGTAGTAATCACAAAATTACGCTTTTTTCGCATATTTCCCAGTGAATTAAATACACTTAAACACTGCATGCGCATCTGACGGTTGTTTATTTACATTTCTGCACTATTTTTAAAATTTAACACATCGATTTTACGCGTATTTTGTGCAAGTTTATTTGTTACGCACGCCAACGCCATATGACGAGCGCCGCCGACGAACAAAGGGAAAATGTTGAATGTGAAAAATGTCAAACATTTGCGAGCGAGCAGACTTTGAGTCTGTGACGTGTGAGTCGCGTGGGAGCAAGCGAGATGCTGCTCTTGTGCGATATGATGTTGTTTCACTCACGCGCCCCCTTTTTTGTGGTAGAGAAGAAAAAAACCAAAACGAAACGAAAAGATTTCACAAAACATGCCACCGATTTTTGGTTACTTTAGTTATTATGATTGCTTTAAAGTTTTACTTGCTTTGAATTAGCGAACACGGTTTGTTCCTTCCACTTTAACAGTCACTTTGCCTTACGTTCATATATTTACTCAATTTCCCGCACTTTTCTTCACATGAAATGCTCGTCTCTTGCATAGGCATTGGTATATTGCTTTCTGAACATTGCTGTCGCCTGGTTTTAGTTAAAATTTCACTAGTTTTAGTTTATTTCGTTGCACCTGAGTCACTTGACGCTTGTTGCGTTCAATTTTACTCATAATTTAAACATTTTTCCGTAATATTTTGCCAACTTCTTTGACAAGGCGAAGCAAACGCGTCGAACTGCTGGCTGGCCTAGTGGTGGAACAAACGTTGCGATAACTAATCGGCAAGTCATTCTGTGCAACAGCGTTGCCGGCTCGCGAACCCAAGGCAATGTGTGACCATATTTATTTTCATTTAAGCAAATTTCCACAAACAGAGTTGACAATTTTAGCGCCGTTCTCGAAAGGGTCACATTTGCAAAAAGAGCCAATTTTTATTGTTAAACTAATTGTTATTGGACGCGCAAAGACAAAGACTGCGACCAAAAACATGCTAAGGGTAAATGAACTAAATATCACTGTATCAACATCTGCCGTACGAACATATGCGTCATCTTTTCCATCAAACAGGCAATCGGCAAACGAGATATATTCGAAGAGGTTTGGCCGAAAAAGCGATTAATTGTTTTAAAGCTGCTCCAACAGGAGACAGTCTCGCAGCGCGAATGGCAGGACCTCTTCTTTGGCGTGCACTTTGTATGCTTATGGGACGAGAAGGGCGCCGCAAAGATTTACGATTGTCTGCAGCAGGACATTGTGGAGTTCATTGTGCAGGCGCAGAGCAAAGTGCAATCGCAGCGAGGGGAGCAGGCGCTGTTGGCAACATACATTGTGGAATGGCGTAAATTCTTCACACAGTCCAACTACCTGCCGTTGCCCTTTCGGCAGCTGGAACAGTCACCACAAGTGAAACCTCAATCGAGCTCCGCGACATCGTCCACATCTGCATCAGCTTGTGCCGGCGCCTCAACCTCCTCAAATGCCGCCTCATCCAGTAATCAGGCGTCAACAAGTAGTTCCTCAACAGCAAAAGCATCAACGTCGTCGGCAGCAGCAGCTGCGGCGGCATCGGGATCATCAAGCGCCTCCACAAGCGCCAGCACCTCTGCTGCTGGCAATGCGTCCAGCTCGAAAAAGAGCCCCACGGAAGACAGTCCGGTGCGAAAGTTGATGTTGGACTCGTGGAATAAGCACATATTCCATGACATCAAAAATCGCCTGCAAGAATCGGCCATGAAAATTGTCCATGCCGAGCGAAATGGGGACGCCTACGATGCCCAGCTGGTTGTGGGCGTGCGCGAGAGCTACGTCAATTTATCGTCAAATGCGCAGGACAAGCTGGAAATATATCGCGAGCACTTTGAGCTGGCGTACCTGAAGGCAACAGCCGAGTTCTATCGCCTCAAATCCGCCGAACAGCAGCAAGAAAACGGAGTGCTGGCCTACATGAAATATGCAGACGCCAAACTCCATGAGGAGGAGGTGCGTGCCAAGCGCTACCTGGAACCTAGCAGCTTTAGTGTACTAACATACACGCTGGTTAAGGTGCTGATAGTTGATCATCTGAATAGCATCCTTGCCGAGTGTCCGGATCTGATACGGGACTACGAAACAGAGCGTTTGAATCTCATGTTCCGGCTAATGGATCGTGTGCTACATGGCGTCGGTGTCGAGGCCATGATGGGTGATTTACAGCGACACATAATGTCGGCCGGCTTAGCCGACATGCTCGCCGCCTCGGAGATCATAACACAGGACTCGGAGAAATATGTGGAACGTCTGCTGGAGCTGTTCAACAAATTCAGCGACCTTGTACACAATGCTTTCAACGATGATCCGCGTTTTCTCACCGCTCGCGACATTGCCTTCAAGACAGTAGTAAACGATACCAGCGTCTTTAAAATGGAGCTGCCCACGAGCATGGCCAATCGTGGTGTCAAGTACACAGCGCCGGAAAGCAAATGTCCCGAACTGTTGGCCAACTATTGTGACATGCTGCTCCGCCGCACGCCGCTCAGCAAACGTCTAACGAGCGAGCAAATCGACGCGAGATTACGGGACGTACTGCTCGTTCTCAAGTACGTCAACAACAAAGATGTGTTCATGCGCTACCACAAAGTGCATTTAACGCGACGGTAAGTGACGAGCAGTGGGGCTATGGTGCAGACCTTTAATAAATGAAAATTTTCAGCTTAATACTCGGCACGAGTGCAGACAGCGAGAAGGAGGAGGATATTGTGGAATGGCTGCGTGAGGTTGGTATGCCAGCAGACTATGTGAATCGCTTGGCCCGCATGTTCCAGGACATCAAGGTATGTAAACCAGGCTTTGAATCATGTATTCGCTAAATAACTGACGCAACAACAATTGCAGGTTAGCGAGGATTTGAATACTCAATTTCGCAACTCAATAAGCCGCCACGATGCCATCAACATTAAAATACTCAATGCGGGCGCTTGGGCACGCTGTTCGGAACGTGTTTCCGTATCGCTGCCCATTGAACTGGAGGACTATATACCCGATGTGGAGGAGTTCTATAAGAAAAAACATTCCGGCCGTAAACTGCAATGGTACCATCATATGAGCAATGGCACCATTACATTTGTCAATGATTTCGGGCGCTATGATCTGGACGTGACCACGTTCCAAATGGCTGTGCTCTTTGCCTGGAATCAGCGTCAACACGATAAAATTTCCTATGAGAATTTGCGTCTGGCCACCGAATTGCCAGGTAAGGAACAAACGAACCTATTATTTGTAAAGCCCGTACTCTTGCACCAAGTGGTACACAGTTCATTGAAGACTCATTGATGCGTGTCAGTCAAACACTGACCATGACAAGCCTAGAAAATGAAATATGTATGTATGGTTGTTCTGATCAATATCTAAAAACAATTTATACTCTCTAGATCCGGAGCTGAGGCGCACACTCTGGTCGCTAGTCGCATTTCCGAAAATAAAAAAGCAAATTCTGCTCATGGAACCAGCTGCAATTAGCTCTCCAAAGGACTTTGCTGAGAATACGTTATTTTATATCAATCAGGAGTTTGCCATTGTCAAGAATGGTAAATCGCAGCGTAGGGGCAAGGTATGTGAGAGCCACAACAATTTCCAATTAAATTGGTGCAACTTATGACTGACTCTATGCACAATTTGTAGCTTAATCTAATTGGCCGACTGCAGCTGAGTACCGAACGGTCCCAGCAAGAAGACAATCAATCCATTGTACAGCTCCGTATCCTGCGCACACAGGAAGCAATCATCAAGATAATGAAGGTGCGCAAGCGCATGAACAATGCAGCCTTGCAGGTATGTATTCCTAAACTCCATACATACATCCCAAGAATTTGTCTCAATGTGTTATGATTTGTGTGTTTTTGCAGGGCGAACTTATAGATATACTGAAGAATATGTTCTTGCCGTCGAAAAAAATGATCAAGGAACAATTGGAGTGGCTCATTGAACACAAGTATATGCGGCGCGATGATGATGATATAAATATGTTTATCTATGTAGCCTAACTGCCAGTTGGACGCCTTTAAACTCGCTTCGGCCATTTCCATTCCCACTCAAAATCGCAAGGCTTTCACACTCTCTTACTCTCCCCCCTTTTTTTAAGTGTTTTTTGCATTGTATTATACAGAATCGCATTAGGAATTATAATTTTATAACCTTAATAACTTATTATTGTTCTGCTATTTGTTTTGGGTTGCCCTTTTGCGGCCCAAACCCCATCAGATTATTGGCAGCTCTTTTATGTGGTAGTTAATATTTTATGTGTCTGGTGTATTATTTGTACATTTTTTCCGAAAAAAAAAACAAAAATTAAGAAGATAGATATCCTATTTAATCAGCCGTGCGCTCAACGCCTATGTAAAACTTGCTGTTTTCTATATATGTATATGTTTGTAGCTTTTGTTTACGTTGTGTTATTGGTTAAGTACTATATGTAATGTTTTTTGGGACGCGCCCAGGGGATTGAGAAATTCGTGTAGTTAACTCGTTTAAGCCAGTTCCATGTTAGCGACTCTTTGAACACTCAACAACAATCCCAACACATACACACAAACACACACTCGAGTACATTATACAAAACCCGATAGCAATATTTTAAGTCTAAGATAATAAATTACAAATTTATGATGGAATAAACTGTGTTTTTCTTTGCTTATTGGCTGTTTAAAACTTAACTTATATGGCAAAAATGATATTTATACATTTTTAACGCGTGATGGATCAGAGATTTCGAAAATGCTTAAAGACGACTGGTAATTGGTAAAGTTTGTGTATCGCGTATTAGAAAACTTGCAAGATGCTTTTAAAGATTTAAAAGAAAAGTGCCTTTGCAATAGTCCCCTTTGGTTTCAGAATTAGCTTGGAATCGAATCGGTAAAGTTAATTTAATAGGCTTCTAATTCGCCCACAAAACGTATCTTAAAAAAAAAAACATTTCAAAATCTGTGGTTTATTTAATTTCCGGTAAAATGACACTGTTTATTGGAAAATTGTGCAGGTATAGCTTTGGGGTGTACCAATGTAGGTTTGAAATGCAATACGATCCAATTTTCGATAATGTTACTCTAAGCTTTAATGAGAGTTTAGCACATAACTTTTTAAGGCCTCAATCGACTCAGATATTTGAGTTTCGGAAACAGCAAAAATTCACAGGAAACACGATTTTTCGAATACGGTGTCTGAGCGATAAGTTCTGTTTAGGGTTTGGCCAAAAATTTGGTCCAATAAGGCGCATTATAGTCGAGAAAAATCTATGAATTGGGTTTTTAAACGAGCTTTGACATCCAAAACAACAACCAAAATCGATTGGTTCCATCCTTTCAGACTTTCTACTATCACTCGAATAAAAACGACGGTTTTCGGGCATTAATTCCATTACTTCTCCGGTGTTATCGTTAACAGATGCGTGTTTTCTCTGACCTCACGACGCTCTCTTTATACTCACATATATACTTCATAGAGTTGACTTCCCAAGAACTTTTGCAAAATTGTCCTTCATTCCTTAAGCGACCTTCCATTTGAAACACAAAATTTCAAGGAAACTCGTTAAATTTGTCTTTTTTCAAATAACTGCTAAACAAGAATACAGATTTCAGTTGATCTTTGAAGGCTGCCCAAGAGTTAATATATCTTTACTATAGAGCTCATTAGAAATAACCATTTGGAATTTATTGGAATAATCCATTGAAATATGATATATGGTTTTGAAGAGAAATCTGAAACATAATGTCACTTCTATACTTGACAGGAATCTGAATAAATATTATCATTGTAAATACTAGTTCCTATATTTAAATAATTGTAAATTTCGTAAGAAAATTGTTTTAAATTAAAGTAAGCTCAAGCTTTTAGAAGGGCCTTGGAATTGGTATTAAATTAAAAGAGCCAACTAAGAATGCATTTTCGTGTGCAATAAGTATATTCCACTGCTCCTTTTAAAGATAGGAACATAATTTCAGGTTTCAAAGACGTAATATTTCTTCGAATAGTTTAAAAAGCCATGATACCCAATTGGAATAAATTTTGTTTTTCCTTTTCCTATGTACTCATACATACCCATTGTTTCAATAAAAAATCAATTTTTAATAGTGGGCCAATAGAGCTGTTTTGACATTTATAGCTGAAAAAAGGCTGCAAACAATTGATCGAACATTTTAAAGACTAGTTTGTTTCTAGGAACAAATACAAAGAGTTACAAAAGCCATTGAAGTTCGCAAACATATGCACAAACAAAAAGTTTAAAACGAGGCTTTGTATTCTTCACAACTTGCATGAAAACATTAACATTTCCGTCATAGTTGGCTTTGTTGCGACAAATCGCACTGTTAGATATTAAATTAAAATTAAATTTCGCGCTTAACTATCACCGACACCGACACGCACACTTAAAATAGTCTAGAAACGTGGACATGTTTAAAAAATAGAATTGTAAAAACTGCCTTATACTTAAAAGACGAGTACAAAGAGACACAAACTTAGGCTAAGATTGGATTACCTCTACAAGGACTTACATAACTAAATGGTCTGTCTAGCCTAGGCCTATAACTATTGAATACTATGCCAATGACAATACTTTGACGATCCGAACTAGTTCTTATGTTTAGCTTAGGGCTGTACCAGCGCCTACACTTTTGTCAGCTTGCTGCTCAACTAGGCTTTGGCAGTGTGGATGATGTGAAGAAGCTCTGATTGCTTCTGTGATGTTTGCCGTGCCCAACGGCATCCGTCTACCTACGCTTGCGTCCCTTCTTGTAGCCCTTGCCATACCAACCGGCCTGGGTGCGGGCGAGCTTGCGCGGAAAGCTATTGCTTAGCTGCAATCGTCGCTTGGCCGTCTCTGCGGCCGCAATGTGTGCCAATGAGATGTTCTCATCGTACTCATCATCATCATCGGTGGGCGGACAACATTCGCAGACCACAAAGCGACCGCTACGGGCGCGCTTCTTATGCTTGCGCTGGCTCAGTGGCCATTTGCGATAGAACTGGCATTCAAGTTCCGCATAATTATCGAAACAGAATTCACAACCAGCCGCTGAACGATTCATAGCAAAGTTTGGCACCACCTGCAAGTTCCAAATGTTGAGATCCGAGGGTGGTGGTATCAGTATGCTATGCAGTCCCGAATAAGCATACTTGGCCTCGTGCCATCTGGGTAGCTGACGTAATAATTGATGGGCACTGGGCGTGCGTAGCGTGGCATGTTTGCGCAACAGATCCATTTGAGCCATGCCGATGCCACAGTCGTCATTCTCATTGTCATCATCTTCCTCGTCGTCCTCCTCTTCGGTATTTTCGGTGGTTGAGTCTGCTGACCAAGTAGCGCTATCACTTTGTATGTTCAGGGCCTGCAGTGCCGGTGGCAAGACCGTAAATTGTGGTTGTATGAAGGGCGTGGTGAGCGGCGCACCAATCGGCACCAGTGGCGGCAATGGTATCTCCACTGCCGGCCGGCTGGAGATGCAAGGCTCTAATCTCAGTTCGACGGGCAGCAGACACATGCTTGGGCAGCTATTTGTTGTCGTATATGGTTTTTGTATGGCGACTAGTTTCGGCAGTTCCATGGGCACACCATTTGGGACGGTGGTCAGACCATTTGTGAGTTCCTCCTTCTTGATTTGTGGCAATGCGGTCGTGAAGAGTGGTTCCAGTTTTGGCAGCTGTTCCAATGTTACCTCCTCCTTTATACAGCTCACACTCAAATCCGAGGCTTTGGTGGCCTCTTGTGCCTCCACTTTTACGTGAACTGACGTGGTCGTCTCAGTCTCTTCTTTAATGTCAGTTGCTTCTACTTTTAGCTCACATTTCTCTTCCACAATTGTCTGCTCCAATTTAATGCTCTCTTGTTGCTTTTCGCTTTCAGGTGCAGCAGCAGCGGTAGTAGCAGCGGCAGCCGTCTTTTCATCATCATCGTCCTCATTGCCGTTCATGATCTTTTTGCGCGCATATTTTCGCAACTCCAGGTTAGTTTTAATGCGGCGGCCATTCTTGAGCGGGGTGCGTATGCGGGGGCCTTTTGAAAAGGGCAAATCAGTATAGCTATCACCCGAAATTGTTGAGTCTTGCGTCTCCTCAGTGGTGGTTGTGCAAGATTGTGTATCGCCTGCCTCTTCCTCATCGGCATTCTTTAGCAGCGGTTGGGTTAGAGTGTGCAGCTCCTCGGGCATCAGCAGCGTGGCATGCGCAAAAATCGGATCCTTTTCCTTGCTATAAACGGGCACGGTTATGTTTAGGACACTCATTAGTTGAGCCATCACGCGATCGCATTTGCCATTGATCTTAATGCTGGCTATATTATCCTTGGGTGTCCATTGCAAGTTCACCACACAAATTTTGGCACGCTGGCGGGCTGGCTTGTCCATTTGCCAAAGCCAAGTATATTTCTTGAGAACCTTGAGACTAGAGCCCAGACAGAGTATGACATCGGCACGCTCTGCATGTTGTGTGGCGCCTGCCCAATTCAGTGGCCATTTGACGTTGCCACGCTCGCCGAAGTGGACAATGGTGTCATAGAGCGGCTCAGAGCAACGATGGCAGAGTCTATGTGTTTTGTGGCAATAGCGAGCCGTCATCTCGGTGGTGTCGAATTGACGCCAATAGACCGTATTCGGTTTGCAGTGCTTGCACACCTCAATGTACATGTTGCCATGAATCTCGGACAGGGATTGGCGGGGGAGCCCGGAGCGCAAATGCAGTCCATCGCAGTTCTGGGAGACAACATGTTGCAGCAGGCGCCGACGGTGTAGCTCGTAGAGCGCCATGTGCGTGTAGGTGGGATTCGCACTGGATAGATCATGTTCACCAATATCCTGACCCTTTTGCAGCAATGTCCAGATGCCTTTGCTGCCCCTGTAGTCGGGTATGAGCGCTGCGGTGCTGATGCCCGCTCCTGTATAACAGATCAGATGCTTTGCCTGTGATATGATGCTGGCCAGCTGTTCCACCTTAGCTTCAATCACGTCTGGCTCATCCTCCTTCTCTACCACACGCTCCTTGTAGATGGCAATGCGTTCTTTTCGCTTCTTGGTCGTCTTCACAATGTCCGGATGCTTCTCCAGAAATTGACGCTCCTCGACGCTGCGCAACGATTCGCATTTTCGCAATATCATCGATACCTGCAAGGGTGCGCAAAAGTGTGTGAGCATAAACTTTAATTGCCATCAAAACAAGTTTCGTTCGTTTCACAAAAGCCAAGCTAGCATTCAAAGTGCACGGATATGCATACACATGCACCCCCAATTTCGCACTCACACATATACACATACCACACATACACGCGCACGTTAATTACCTTGCGTATAGCATCCTTGCGGCGGCGCTTCTCATTGTCATTCTTTGCGGGATTCATTTTCGCTCGCGTTATATAAGATTGCACCACATCCGGCGTTACAGGCTCCGGCTGCAGTTCGTCCAATTGCTCCTCATCCTCCATGTTATCTTTCTTCTGTAAGTCCACTTAATCTTCTAGTATAGTGAATGCTTGCGACGCACGAAAAGGGAAAGGAAGCGTCGGCGGCTGCGTTACCCGTAAAAGGTGCGCAGGACGAAAAATTCACGCAATTGCTAACTATTGATTTACATTTTATATTATTATATTCCGTTATCCATTTTGCGCAATTATTTGTTAACGATGCAAGCGAAAAATTGTATGTTTTCAGCTAAAATGTAAACAATAACTGAGCTGTGCCGTGCCAACCCGAGCTGTTATTTATATTACTTTAGAACGAGTTGGCAGCGTTAAATTTTAGTTAGTGTTTACACATTTCAGATATAAAAATGTACTAACGCCAAGCTCGCAAGTGAGGTTATGTGGCATTTTCTTTTTCTTTTCTTGTGAATAAGCATTTGGGCTGCACGTTTTTCTGCAACGATTCCAAAATGCAAATTTTCGTGAAAACTCTCACCGGCAAAACCATCACCTTGGAGGTGGAGCCTTCGGACACCATCGAGAATGTGAAGGCAAAGATCCAGGACAAAGAGGGCATTCCTCCAGATCAACAGCGTCTGATTTTCGCTGGCAAGCAGCTCGAAGATGGCCGCACTCTCTCCGACTACAACATTCAGAAGGAGTCGACTTTGCACTTAGTGCTCCGTCTCCGTGGTGGTATTATTGAGCCTTCACTGCGTATTTTGGCACAGAAGTACAACTGCGACAAAATGATTTGCCGCAAGTGCTACGCTCGTCTTCATCCACGTGCCACCAACTGCCGTAAGAAGAAGTGCGGACACACCAACAACTTGCGCCCCAAGAAGAAGTTGAAGTAGACGCTGGCCGTGCAAAACCTACCGTTGCAGCGATTTTACTGTTTCCGCCGACCATCTACAACAGCAACAACAAAAAATATGAGTTTTCTTATTTCCGTGCGCTAAAAATGAATGCTTTAACAACTTAGTAAATATCATTTGTAATTTATCCAAATGTATAAAACAAAATGTATTTACTTGCAGTAAAGCGCGCAAAAAAAAAAAAAAACAAAACAGAATGTGTCTTCTGATTTAATGTGGCTTCGATATGTACATACAAGTATGTATGCATAAAGGTGCAGAGGACGAGATTAATTTAAATAAGTTAAATTCTGAATTAATGTTCAATAACCAATTCGAAAGTTACGGTATAGGTAGCAAATGCTGATCTTGCCGAGCTCTTTTGTCCAATAGGATGGATTATATTGGTGCTATTCGAATATATGTATAATATAGAACTTCGGTAATCAAGTATTTGTTTCTTATATTTTAAAATTGAGGTATACATAATTTGAATTATAGTCATATGTTCAAGTCGTTTTCACTTTGCTAAAGTTTCCTTGATCCAATCCAAATAGTGATAGACACGGGTGTAAATGCTGGGCACAGTTGGTTTGGCGCACACAATACCCACGGAAGTAACGCCCATGACGTGGTACATGCATGGATAATCTTTGTGATAGACTAAAATGGGACCACCAGAATCGCCATTGCAAGTATCCTTGGTCTGATTGGAGCCTACACACATCTGGGTGGTAGCATCAAAGCCCTGAGGCAGCTCATAGCCGCGTTCAATCACACGGCGACAACGCTCGTCAGCAAAACGCCTTAATTTCACTTTTTGCAGCTTCGGGGAAGACTTCTGAGCCAGGCCTGTGCTGCCCCAACCAGTGGCTATAAAGAAGTCAAATTGGTAGCCGTCCTCGAAGGGCAAACAGGCGGGATGCTTATAACGATCAAACCCTACATCCTCTGCCAATTTTATGAGGCCAATGTCGTTGTAGAGCTCTGGATCTGTGAAGTTTGGATGCTTGATGTAGTCCTCGACAGCATAATCCTGTGGCTTGGCATTTTCGGTTTCGCTATCAAAGTCGAGCTCGCCCAAACGCACGATATTTATCTCGCCCCTAAATAGGGAGTAATTATTAAGTATGAGATTTTCCTCTGTAGATGTATTACTTACTGTGGCGTCTCAAGACAATGTGCGGCTGTAAGCACGAATCTCTTGCTGATCAGCGTGCCACCACAAAACCATTCGGTGCTGGCTGGATTTACGGTGCGATGCCCCAATCGTGCCATATGGGGAAATTCCATAGGCTCCGCAGGCAGCCCGTTGACTATCAATGGCGTATAGCTTTGGCAATTATCGAAGGTCTCATATTGGATGGGCGCACCTGGAAATAGGAAACTAAAGCCCACTCGTTCCTCGAAGATGCTCTTCTTTAACTCTGTGCAGGCTAAACAAATACACACAAACAGGCGGAGACATAAACATGGGTCCATCTTTAAGGTCTATCTCTATACTTACATGTGGCGGTATCAAAATTTTGACCAATAACGCCCTTCAGGAGCGTCAACACCACCGTCAGCAGTAACGACTCTAATGTTTTCTTTAAATAAAGTATTTGCATATTTTGTTCAAGATTATTGTTTACCGACTGTTTTATTTTCTTAAGAGCCCCTGCACCACACCGTCTGCCTTTTATAACTTTTCGTGCGCGTTTGTTTTGAAGCTTCAAGTGGCGATCGAAACCAACACGATGCTGTTCGAGAGAATAACCGACCCTCTGATTGCTCTGGACAGGTTTTTTTATTATAAGCATCCAATCTACTCAAGCCTCACGCACACACACACACGCAGTGTACTTTGTTATAGTTGTTGTTATTGCCTTTTTTTCACAGCTAATACCCCGAATGATGCTCTTTGGGGTCAGCCAATCAGCAAAAAAGTTGCTTTAGCTTTTGGGGGCAAATCTACAGTTAGTTGAAGATTATGAATTATAGCAGCGCTGGGGAATTTGAGAATCCGCAAGTTGATATAACATATACATACATACACACATATGTATGTGGAAACCAGCTTATAAAATATACATGTAAATACTTACATATCTATGCTTAAAAGAAGATATAGTCAAGCGCGGACAGACCGCCCGTTGCATAAAGCTTGTGCGGGAATTTGCGATGTTTACCAAATTTTACATTAAATATAAATACCTGTGAAACACTTAAAAATTCATCAATCGGTCTGATATTATATTATAGTTTAACTTTGTGAGCAAATAGAAAAAGTGGCATAAGTGTTAAATTTTGACATTAATATACAGATACATATGTATGTATTTAATATTTAGTCCAAAACTTTACGCTTTTAATGCGCTTAGACATACTTTCTACTATATTTTCAATCATTTCCTAGGAAATATTTCTCCACTCCGTCTGAGTTTGGAACCAAAGCTCATCGAGGCTCTATATTGCTGTATCTTACCGTGCTTTCAGCGTTACTTGAAAATTCTGCTTGTTAAGTCAATTCTTAACTACTTTAGCCTTAGGGCTACTGTGTTACAAATGACTTCAGGTCGAATAAGTTTTCAAGTTAAATGCAAATTCTCAATAAAATAAATAATAAGTAATAATGCGTAATGTAAAAGCTTTGCAAAATATTACCTTGTTTGTTACTTAAATGAATGGACAATGTTGATACATTAAAACAAATCGGGCAACCAGCACGCAGTTTTTTTTTTAAAAATGTAATTGCATGACAATTAATAAAACAATAAAAAATATGTTTATACACAAATGCATGACAATTTTTAGATAAATAGTACTATGTGCAGGAAATATCTATCATTTTCAAAGTTTCCAAACTTATGTATGTTCTTTGTTTTGGTCAATTTTATAAAGCAAGTTTATAAAGTAATTTCAGTTTTGTAATCACTACTACTAGATCATAATAACTCGAACGTATACATAAATACATATGTCGTAAAAGATCGACTCTTGAATACCCTTGTCTACCCTTTTCTACACTACAACCAATCAACTAAAAAATAAGCTTTACAACCAATCACTATATTACCAACCAACTATAGTATATAGTTGTGCTATTTAAATTATGTAGTTAGTAAATTTATAGGGAAACAAGATAGAACACTACAGTCGAGCAAGCCCGACAGTAAAATAGCCTGTACTCTCCACAAAAAGGAAAAATTAAAAAAAAAATTTTTAAATAATTAAATTATTAAAAAAAATGAATGAATTAATCAATTAAAATAATTAATTAAATTAAATTAGAATACATGTTTATGTTCAGTTTAAACAGCATACATTTACCTCACGTACCTATGCGTGTTTATATGCGTGTATGTATGCAGCACAAAGTTGAACAAAAGCAGCAACAACAACAACAGCTGCGGGCAGCGCTGCCGACAGAGCTGCAGGCAGCGCATGAGCAGCGATTTTACTTATGGCTATAACTTTCTTCAGAATTGACCTATCATGATGAAATTTGGCACACGGACACATTAGTACTAACTGGATGTACCTACCAAAATTGATTTTTAAATTCCGAGAATTACGGAAGTTATAAGAAAAAATACGAATTGCGAGGGAGCGGGGGGGTGTATCGGAAAAAATAAACAAACTCGTTCTGCCTAGGGCTTATAGGAACCTTGATACCAATTTTGGTTATCCTAGCTCTTGTACTTACTGAGATCCTTGCGCTCATACAGACAGACGGACAGACGGACAGACGGTCAGACGGACAGACGGACAGACGGACATGGCTATATCGACTCGTCTTCTCATCCTGATCAAGAATATATATACTTTGTGGGGTCTGCCACGCCTCCTTCTGTGTGTTACATACATGCGCACAAAACTAGTATAGCCTTTCACCCTTTGGGTACAGGCTATAAAAACTTGTTGATACTCGGCTAGATTTCTGCACCGATATCGGGATTAGTTGATGAAAATTTAGAATATCATGAATTTAAGTATCACCACTTAAGACAAATAATACGGTAATTTAAACCAGTTGTTGACGTGGCAGCACTGCTAGTAGCCTGCATGGCAGGCTGGCAACGTTTGCTAGCAACATTCGCTAGCAACATCTGCTAGCACAGCGCGGCTGACGTCAGCGCCCTCTCTCTCCCACACGCTAGTTAAGGACCAGAGCGCTGTAACTAGGTTAAGTTAGTTACAAATTGTCTTTATATGAAGTGAATACATACGTGCAGAAGAGCACTTTGAAACCTGAAAATCCCGCCATTTTGTTCTTGTACTGGAGTTTGGACATTTTATCCCCGACGCCCCCCGACTTTTACATGGTCCTTCGAGCCGGATACTTTTGAGGCACCTCCATCCATACTCATCCTCGTTTTGTGCCAGCCATCCGTTCGCCCCAGCTTGTTCCTGGCGTTGGACTCCTATAAGGGAAAACAGCTAAGTAAAAAGTTACTTTTGGCTCAGTACTTACGCCATATTGGTTTTTTCTGTCGGTCTGTCCGCCGACTTCCAAAAACGGAATCCGCATCCCGCTTTCCGTCCCTGATCCAAGGGCCCCATTCGTATACGGCTGATACCGCGCCGGTCAGCTCAACCAAAAATACATAAAGTGCACGAATTAGCAGTATAGAACCAATCTGTCCGTTCGCGATTGCATACCGGCATACTTGGGACGTGTTCATTCATATGTGCAACAAGTGTCCAGTGAAAAACACAACTGGACTTGCCGTCCTAACGCACTATCACTGCATAATCACCGTCACTTACAACAAACGTATGTTTTGATGCTTGCATAGTCCACAAACATACATATTTGTTAATGCTTGCATGTCCCACAAACCACAAGCATATTTTCTAAGCGCTTGCATGTTTCCGCGCACAACAAATATACGGTTTTGTACATCTGCTTAAATATTTATACACTTGCACACTACGCATCATCCATATACTGGTACATCTATATTCCGAATCTACCCAATAACCATAGTTCCCCACATGCTTACAAACAAATATACAAATTAAATCCATATTAAACATACATTCACAATCATACATATGTTCATATTTACAATTACACATATTTACTAACACAATTCCTGTAACACGACACGGTCGGTCCGCGACTCCCACCAACTTACCCGTATTCCGGTTAGCACTCCGCTCCAGTCGTGCCATATCCAGCGCCAGCGCCAGCGCGCGCTCACCGGCGAATATTCTATTGTTTTTTTTTGGCATAAAATTCTTATTTGCACAATTCGTCAACAAGTGATGCGCACTTGTTGGGAACCGGTTATCGGAATATCGAAACTTTGGAGTGTGACCGAATATTAGTCACGGTCACGAATTACAAATAATTTACATTAATTTCGATAATAAAGGGAAAACCGATTGCTACTGGCAGCAGTGATTTTGTCACAACAAAGATTTAATAAAATTAAAAATAAATTAAATATCGGTGGCATTTGTTTCCTTTGGAGTCACATTGCATATTTCAGCGCATCCTGAGGAGTTATTGACAATTTAATAAGGATTTATTGTCGCCGTTGAACTGCCGCCGTCTAATTGTCGCCGTTGCTGCCATTATTATTATTGCTGTTACCTCGCAAGTGTTCAGCGTATCCAGCTGTATTATTGGAATTTACTAAGAGCCAAACCATACTTCCAGGTGCTTTTGTTACGAGCCAGTCGGTTCGTAAGCCACATTGGGACACACAGCGAAGTCGAACTACATATATAGATTCTGCCGGCTCCTCCTCTTTTCTTTGGTCGTGTCCTGTTCTATATTGCCAACAAGCAAGGCGCAGTCCTAAACGCCACTTGTTGCTTTCGGCGCGCATCCGTCCGTGTCCATCCGAAGCGCCTATAGCGCGCCCACTTCTACTTATTGCTTGTCAGGCCTGTGTGGAAGCTCAAAATGCCGAGCGACAATGAGAAGGACTCATTGGAAGTTCCCGTTGTAACGAGAACTAGTCCAGCTACACGTTCAGCTGTTCATATCGCGGCTCAGAAAATCCAAATGGCATTAGATAACTTTATTTCCGTTAGCGATAGCCTGTGCCAATTCGAGGCGCTTTTGGCCTCCTCATCCGCCTCAGATCCGCTTGTCATGCTCAAGACTCGTCTAGACCAAGTCAAGGTCCTTTGGGAAAGGGTTGAGCAAGAACAGCGGTCGTGTTCCAGGGCTCTAACCCAGTTAGAGGCCGGTGTTCCTGACAAGCAGGCGATGCAATCTAGATACGAAAATTGCTATCGCGTCTACGAGCGGTGTGTCTGTCTGGTATCCGGGCAGATTGAACAGGCATCCGCGTCACACAATCCCTCGGCGCCTGCTGTCGAAGCTCGGGGCTTCAATGTGCCACCGGTGGATACCGAGGTGTTCTCTGGCGATTATTTGAAATGGCCTACGTTCCGGGATCTCTTTACGGCCGTGTACATTCGCAATTCGCGTCTGTCCGAGGTCGAGAAAATGTTCCACCTTAACGCCAAAACTAGTGGAGAAGCGAAGGTTATCGTTTCGAGGTCGCCACTCACTAATAGCGGTTTCGCTACTGCATGGAAGGACCTGACTGACCGTTTTGAAAACAAACGGCTTCTCGTCAATAGTCAATTAAAGGTCCTTGCCAACATACAACCAATTTCGTCAGAGTGTGGCGCCTCCATTAAGGAACTTCAGAGCACCATTCAAGGTTGCTTAACAGCTGTGGAAAACGCGAAGATAAGTACCGAAAATTGGGATTGCGGCTTAGTCTTTTTCTGCGCCACCAGACTCCCACAGCAGACCCTTTCTTTATGGGAACAGTCTGTTAAAGACAAGACTGAGATTCCTCCCTGGTCCGATATGAACCAATTCCTGTCAGATCGCTATCGAACTCTCGAAGCGATAAGTGATGTGCGATCGAGCACCAGCGTCCGCGTGCCAAAGTCAGCTCAAAAGGAGCCGGCTGCGAGGAGAGTCAACTCGTTTGAGGCAAAGGTCAGAGTAAAGACGCAGACCTGCAACCTCTGTTCCAGAGAAAACCACCCAATTCGTCTGTGCCCGCGTTTCCTCGCAATGACGGTCAAGGAGCGTTCCGGTGTGATTAAGAAGCAAAAGCTGTGCCTGAACTGCTTCGCCAGAGGGCACCAGCTGAAAGACTGCACGAGTCAGTATTCGTGCTCCACGTGTAAGGGACGCCATCACACGTTATTGCACCGCGGTGCCCCGACTCCACTCGTGCCTCCCACATCAGCTC